CCAGGATATTTTCTATTGCTGCTCCCTTTGCTCATGAGCTGGAATAACAATGATTTTACTTTGTCACTGAGAGTGTATGGGTTGTTCCCTGTTTAGACAGATAACTGTCAGAATATTGACTAAACACATCTGCCTCACTCTTCCATTCTATCGATTGTAATCACAGCTCTGAAGCTGCATTTTATCTAATGATTTTCTTATTAATGTTCTGCTAATAAGCATTATAACTTATTCCTAAAAATTACAAATTGGTTTGGTAGAACCTCCAAGTCCAAAACAGTTTCATATATAATACAGTCACAATAAATGCTTTAAAGTTATATGCCTGAAGCCACAATAATGCTAACTCATCTGACAATCTGTCTGCTTTTAAGATGGTTTAACACAAGAGAAGGTTTAATTACCTCCAATTAGACTGCAATGGAAAAGTTACTACAAATACAAATTCCCTTGGAATTTTCTTTTCAGCTCAGTAAGTCCAACAGCAGGGAGAATAAATTAACAAGTGAATGTCTGCTGAGCAGCAGTAGCTGTTTAAATATGACCTTTTCCCTCTTGGAGACTGTGAGGATCCATGGATTAAAGGAAACAAGAGAAAATATGATCTAATGGCGCCCACTTGTGTTAAACAGGCTTACCTGCAGCATGTCAGTTCGCCTTCCACCAACATGTTTGCAGTCTCCTTCACAGCTTAGCTCACAGTTTCACTCAGTCGATACCTTGTGAAAACACAAAGAAAGAAGACAGAGAAAAGAGGAAAGTCTTTTCTTTTTTCTTTTTAGCTCTTGTTTGTTTACTCCTTCCTCAGATGTCATATAATTCCTTAGTGTTTCTTTAGTGAGGCAGTAAGCTGTGAACACATCTTAGGCAGAGGATAAAGAGGTAAAGAGAGAAGAGGCAGGGGGTTAGACTTTCTGCAGGTGTTAGGCTGTCATCTTGTTGCTAAAATTCATTTTCTCTCCCAGCTCCACAGTTTTGTTTTGCACTTACAACTCCTCAGCTTGAAGCACATTAATTATAATCATTTAGACCCCCCTTTAGCACTCGCTTTTAAATGTCCATTAACAAGTATGCATGAAGCAAATATTCACACTTTTGTATAGGTGTAACTAAATAACTTTTAGAATAAAGTTTAGTTATTCCCATAATTTGGTTTAGAGCTAAAAATGTTTACTCTATATACATTCACTATGGATTTATGAATTTTAAGGATTTATTTTAGTTTCTTTGATGATAATGGATTACAGAAAATAAAAACTTATATGATTTAAACAGAAAATTTGAATATTTCATAAGATCAATAGAAATAATTTTCAAATACTGAAATGTGTGTTTACCTTAAAGTACAACCATGTACCTTGTACTTTTTTGCAGGAGTTAGTACAGCAATGTTGTGTTGCATTGAGGAGATTACCCTGTGGCTCTGCTGAGAGTTTGGTAAGAACAAGTTGCTCTAATACTGGCTTCCAGCTCCTGTTCGATGTTGTTTAGGTCATTTTAACCAAAAGCTCACTAATAATATATAAAATCCAGGAGTTTAATTTTCCAACTCATAACTGACTGTGCAAACTTTTCTCTGGGTCTCCAACCTAATTGTACTCTATCCTACTCCACTACTCCTTCATTTGATATTTGAATTAAATAAAAATGCACTTTTATTATAAAAAAGAATATTATGTGCATCTTTTTCTCATATCTCCTCGTCCGCACTGAATGACGTTTTGGTGGCCTACTCTTCTGGTGAAACATATGCCAATTATGTCCACTGGGCAAAATGAACAGAAATATACCACAGCGTGAAAATATTTTATATACATATGTTTTTGTTTTTTTTTTAAACATGCAATTGAAATTGTGAATGAAAATATTTTGTAACACTGCTCAAATTTCTTTGCAAGAAAACACAGGAATACATGGAAAGTTATTGTGATTCCATGGGTTCATTCTACATTCAAAAAACATCAACAAACACAATTGTGAAAACTTTCTACAACAACTTCCTGTGCAATTGTCATATAAAATAGGCTTAATTAATGATGAGTCACAGAAACATGTAGATTTACACCCACCTGTACTCAGAGACAAGGCTGAGAGCCCGTTTGCAGCCTTTGCTGCTTCAGACTACATCATTTGCCATGCATAAAAAGGTCAGAGCAGTCTTCCCCACATTAAATCACATTGCAGACAGATCTTTGGTTCTGCAGGCGCTGTTATTTATCAACAGGAGTTCTTTTCATTCGTCTTTCTGACAAGTTAACGCCAGAACTTCAAAAAGTACCTCACATATCATTAGCAGTAACCAAATTTGAATGTTGAATATTCATCTATTGTTACCTAATGGCTTGACTTTATGTGTTCCAGAAAAAGCTAATTGGACTAAAGACTGGAAGACTGCTAATTGGACTCATCATGTAGGTGGTCCTACAAGTATCAAACCCTTGTTTTAAATAAGACATCTGTTTAAAAAGAAACAGGAGCCTTTTCTGCACCAAAGCAACATCATTTCCTTCGGAGATCTGTCTTCTGTCTTTAAAAAGATTAAAAAGGGAGCTCCAGCTGTGAGATGCTTCTTCAAATGTTTTTATTAACTCTGATCTTTCCTTTGTTGTTCCTGTGTGCCACAGCTAATTCCACTTCAACCTCTGAATGTTCACCATGTGAATAACTGCATATGTTTAGTAATAGTTTGAAGTTTTTCAAAGATCTGAGTATTCATGTGAGGTAGAATTGCACAAAGTAAATGAAACATAAACGTTTTGCCACTTCCGTCATTTTAGTCACTTTATTTCTCCACATTCTTACTCCTTCCTCCTCATCTTATCCACATACATGAATACACAAATGCACAGCGGCTGCTAAATCTAGGTCATCACTGTGGAGAGATGTGAAAGTGAATGATAAATCAAAGGCATCAATTTCCCTGAGGCTGAACAGTGGCACTGGACAGCATGCAAGCCAAATGAAAGGTAGAAGACAACACATGCATCTCAATATATGCATGACTTTAATAGACATATATTCATTTAAGTATTTTTTTTTTTTTTTTTGTCAAACTACCACCAGCCTTAAAACCTAAAAAAAATTTTTTCTTTCAACAGGATTTGTATTACCCTATAAAAAGGGGACAATTTTAAATTAGATAGGGGCTCACTAAAATAGGTACAGTTTTATTTTAAGCCATACTTCTCTTTGTTTTTACAAAATGCAACCCTATTGAAATGCAGGGCTTGCCCTCTCGTTTCCTCATTCCCCGTTCTCCTCACTGGTGTTTGCCTCAGAATATACACAAAATAAACTGCCCTTCTATTCTTTTTACATAACAAAATCATCTGTGACATGCAATTCTACCCATAGCAGAGGGTATTGAAGCGCAGTGCAATAGATTTTTCTCTCTTTTGTTTGTGCAATTGACCATGTGTCAGCTTGAATCAGTGGGAAACCAATGCTGCCACACAGGACTAAAACACTGGCTCAAATTTCCCTCTTTAAGAGGCAGAAAAAAGATTTGGTTGAGCAGGATTAAATAAGAGTTCATACTAAAAGAAGTCACGTGGATGCACATGGATTTGGATGCAGGTGGGAATATATAATATAAAATGTGTCAGATGAGATAGAGATTTTAAAAGCATGATCATATTTTAATATTGCCTACACAGGGGTGTTACTTTGTGATTACTGTTGGTGGTGGCGGATGGACCTACAGATACTTGACCGGGACGCTTTCATTAGGTTTTTGTATTTTCCAAAAATGAGCTCAAACATATATCTATTGAATGCTTTCCTATTGTTGAGAACACAAGCTTACCACAATACACTGCTATTTATACTTATAGAGTTGGACAGATGTATTTTAGTGCATTATTTATAAAGGACTCAAAAACATTAATTTAAAAATTATTACGAATAACAGCCAATTCTGGTGCCAATATCTCTATTGTATATCCAAATGGAATTTGAAATGATTGCGGATGGATGGATGGATGGATGGATGGATGGATGGATGGATGGATGGATGGATGGATGGATTGCATATAAGCTGCATCAGTAATTATCCTCCTTCACAAGCAGCAAAATCTAATATTGAAATGTATTATTGCATGTTACATATTGTTAACAGCCAAAGTCAATGTATTAAAAGTTATATTTCAAAAATAATTTATACATTTATACAATTGACCACATCATTTTAGTTATAAAGTAATTGTTAATATATGAAAGATTAAAATGTTCAATAACCCTTGAGGCCATTACTGCTGCCACTGTCTGTATTAGAGGGTGTAAAAAAAATGGTAGGGGTGGCCACAAGGGTGGCCAAAGATTGGCTAAGGGTGGCCAGGGCCACCTCTTACCCCCTATCTAACGCCGCCCCTGCTGAGAAGCTCAGCTTTCTTAACAAGAAAATAAGAACACCACATTTTTCACTCTTTGTTTTGTCAAAAATTTTGCATCATGATACTAACTAATATAAATCTACATTCCGTTGCGATGTTTTGCTGAAAAAGCTCCGTATGTCTAGTCGGACCAGAAAAACTAGTCTATCTACTCTGCAGTTCAATTAATGAAAAAAAAAAAAAAAAAAAAATTAAATTAAATTTCCCGTAACTTGTGACGTAATTGCGCACGACCTTTCAGTGAACGTCCGCGTCACTTGTTTGATGCATTCAATAAAACGGAATATTCTGATATGGTAAAACGGTATTATCAAGTGCCATAAAACCCATTACTTCGTGCTTGATATAATACATTTAAATCATTATTCGGCATTGGATTTAGTTATCTAAAACTAAACTAAAATCTAAACAAAAAGTAACTTCTTTCGTCATCAAGGAAACGCTTAAAAAAATTATAATTTTTTTTTTTTTTTGTAAAAACTATGCATATATAACATTTAATGCCGGTGAAAATCTATAGTAAGGGTACTTACATGCATTTTACTGGTAGTCTTTCGCAGTAATTTATACCATCTCCCTTGTTCTTTTCCTAATTCCGAGGCACCTCGAACTTCACATGGGTTTTCAGTTTGTTGTGAAACATATAGTTCCTTTTCTTTTCTGAGTCACATGACTGTTTACTACCATGGCTAACCCGCTCTCCTCCACTTTTGTTTTCTGTTTGTTTTACATTTGCTCTGCTTCGCCGCCCAATTTCGTCCTGTTTTTCGCAGACGATCTTGGTTTCGGAGACCTGGGCTGTTATGGACACCCCAGTTCACTGACTCCTCATCTGGACCGACTTGCTGCAGGAGGTCTGCGATTTACAGATTTCTACTGCACCAGCCCAGTCTGCAGCCCGTCCAGGTGCCCCACTGCTTTATGACAAGCACTGTCTTATCATGTTCTAATGGAATAATATGCTGCAGCTTTCTTACAATATCTCATTATTTTTGCACTTCCTGACTAACCACAGCATTTGCTTTGTTTACATCTTAGGGCATCGTTGTTAACAGGTCGCTACCAGACTCGCTCAGGGGTCTTCCCAGGTGTGTTTTACCCAGGCTCCATTGGGGGTCTCCCCCTGAATGAGACCACCATCGCAGAGGTGCTGAAACCTTTGGGCTATGCCACAGCCACCGTGGGAAAGTGGCACTTAGGATATGGGGCCAATGGAAAATTTCTCCCAACTAAACAAGGATTTGATCAATACTTAGGAATACCATACTCTCATGACCAGGTAAATGTTTCAACACCTTTAAAAGTTTGGACTTTAAATGCATCTGTATGCCAACCTGCTCTGTTGTTTTTTCTCCTCAGGGCCCTTGCCACAACCTGACCTGTTTCCCTCCAGATATAAAGTGTTTTGGACTGTGTGATATCGGAGTAGTAACCGTCCCACTAGTTCATAATGACAACATTAAACAACAGCCGGTCAACTTCCTTGATCTGGAAAGGGCCTACAGTGACTTTGCAACCGATTTTATAATCACATCTGCCAAGAACAAACAGCCCTTCTTCCTTTATTATCCATCACATGTAAGTAATTCAATACTCTAACACAGAATACCTTTTCTCTGGAACAGCTCAGTTTGGTTGCAGACAATACAGGTAATGATGATTATTATCTAATTTAATGAATCGAAACTAGATATATAAGCCTGGTTTCTGAAAAACTGAGGTATGCATGGTGCAGTGCAATATATTATGTTATATTATTATATATAAAAAGAACACAGTCAATTTTGCAGTGTTAAAGTAACACTTTAAGAGTATATTTGGTCCCACTCGGGAATTACTGTTAAAGTAGATCTCTATGTAGTGTATATTTTACTCCAGTTATTGTAATAACTCTAGAGGAGTCAATGTACTTTGAAACTGCACATTTAAAAGTGGAATTTACTGTGTATCATTGAAAATTAATTCATTTATGAGTCTCAATTTAAGAAGTTCAATTAATAGGTTAAATGATTTATTCTACACAAAATGACATATTATAAATCTGTATTTCTCTAAATGTCTAAGTGATAATCTTTCAGAGCTGACAGAAACCCAACATTCTGCTTATCAGAAGCTGCAGTTATTTAACAGAAAACAAGTAAAGGATTTAGAATACAGAAATTTTATGTAAAGACTCAAAAAAAAATCATTGGGATGCCTTGAGGGCTGTCAAACTGTCCCTGACAGTGCCATCAGGAGGATGAAGGAAAAAAAAGGTGATGGTTTTTCAGGCAGGATTTTCACAGAGAGCTCCAAGCATATTAATCAGAGGCTGAGTGAAATGAAAAGGTGTACAAGGCCGTGTTCTGTAGGAAAAGCTACTCTTGAAACAGAAGAGATGTCTGCATCCAAATAAGTACCCTACTCCTTTGCACATAAAGATCCTGGAGTCAGGATGAAGGGAGGAGAGGCTCAGCATTCAGTGCACCCACCTGCGAAACATGTAGGAGCAATAAGCATTTCCAACTGCTTCTATGCTTAACTTAGATACAACCAGAAGCACCACTTCCTTGTTCATGGTAATATTTGATTGGTGTACAAACTGACCTGATCTTTGTGCTTACAGATAAGTTTAACGTTGTTATTAAAGCAACCTTGGCCTCTTTCGGTGCTCTGTAGTTATTCTGATTGCTTTCATATCAAGATATATCAATAATAATAATTTAACTTTATTGATCTCTGCATTTAACCCATCCCCTGAGGCAGCAGTGAGCTGCCATCGTCTGGCACTCAGGGAGCAGTGTGGGGTTAAGGGTCTTGCTCAGGGACCCAGAGTGCAGGTTGTGGGGATCTAACCAGATAATTGCAACCTTATCAGAGCACAAGCGCACTGCTCTAACCACTAGGCCATCACCTCCACATATGTTTAGTCAATATACACGATGAAGTATATTGCTTTTTTCAGCAGGATAACTATTCTCCATTAAAAATATATATGTTCTATAACTTTCTTTGAAACTGATCATGAGGTTTTCATTTGCTCTTTTTAAATTTAAGAGATGGGTCTCTTCAAATGCATCACTCTCGGTGTTACAAGTCTAATTACTTATACTTTCAATTTATTGAAATAAATCAATTTTAAAGCGACAATACAATGTTTAAATTTCAACATTAATAACTCAACTATGTGATCACATTGTGTTTCTGTCATATGAGCATAACTTTCAATTACCTGCAGTCTGATGAATTATATCATGTTAAAAGGTCAGACTTTGAACATTTGACTCACAGGGTTGGGGAGGCCTGTACTTTGCTTGTCTCTAACTGTGGCAACTTTGTTGACTTATGTTCTGAGAAGTCTTATAAATATAAAGGTGTATTTTTTCTTTTCTTTAATTTGAAAAGTTAAAAATCAAATAAGGAATCTCATTGGTTACCACTATTGAAGTCTGCATAGGAGCATAAATGTCTGTTCTTTCCTTTTGTGTTTTTTAAGCTGACTTAAATCAAACGTTTTGTTCCCTTTTCTATTTTGAAAATTGAATCAAACATAAGAGAATTTACTTTCAGACAAAAAAAATACAATTAAAATTTTACTTTTAAAGTCAGTAGTATGTTTCTGTTTTTTAAGTATTATCATAATTTCTGCCATATGGTACAAAATACTATACTTCAACCTTATTCACTGCCTTTCTTACAGCATACCCACTACCCGCAGTATGCTGGCACAGGAGCAGCAGGTCGCTCTTTAAGAGGTCCATTTGGAGATGCCCTCTTTGAGTTCGACAGCACGATAGGAAACCTGATGGCAACCCTGGAAAAAGTGGGCGTGATCAACAACACGCTTATTTTCTTCACTGCTGACAACGGGTTGGTTGGTTGCAAATGTGAAACATTGAGGAAAATATAGAGATCACAGAGACATATCTGTTCTTTTGGCAGATATTTTTGAGGAAATACAGAGGCTTTTGTCTTTTTTCTTGTGTATTCACAAGCTCACAGTTTAATTTTGGGGTTGTTGCAAAGTTCTACTTTTGTTTGAAAAAGTTTAAGGACTAAAATAACTGAATAAACTGAAAAGCCCAACAGACCCATCAGAGAGATATGGTTAGACGCTAAAGATTTACCTGGCTTTGTTCAGAGACTAAATAAAACCCCTTAATCAGCCTGATAGTTCAAATTGCATATCAGGAAAACATTTTTTTTAGAGCTGCTCAATTGGCTCACAAATTAATTGTGAAGTGAGAAGTGTTCCCCCCGAAACATTTTTCTAACAGTCAGTTTTTAAATACAGAAGTAAAGACTGACAAAGGGAGCTTGTTCTGCCTCGTTTGTTACACCCATCCAAGCCTTGCACTATCTAAGAATAATGATCCATTTACAATTGTTTACAGCAGGCTAAAAAGCTGTAAACCTTAGGTCAACGGCATCCGTTTTATTCCTTTCTGTGTGTAGGCCTGAACTGATGCGTATGTCCCGTGGAGGAAACTCAGGCCCCCTGAAATGTGGCAAAGGTACAACGTATGAAGGAGGCATGAGGGAGCCTGCCATTGCCTACTGGCAAGGGGTCATTGAACCAGGTAAAGACACTGAAAGTTAAGTTAGAGTTAAATAACGTAGAGATAAAAAAAAGGTTCTGTGGAGTTTTTATCCTCTTTGATCAACCATTACAATATACATTTGGACAAACTGTTTAAGTTCTTTTCATGCCCTCAGTCATCTCTTCTATCTAACAGTAATGAGCTTGTAGTGACAGCAGCCCTGTCCCTGCACTGTTTCTATTAAGGGGTGACCCATGAGTTGGCCAGCACTCTGGATATCTTCCCAACCATTGCAAATCTGGCAGAAGCCAAACTTCCCCCGGTGATCCTGGACGGGTTTGATATGACCAATCTTCTCCTTCGCAAAGGAAAGGTAGCAGCTTTGATCTTTGAGTTCTGTAAATACTGATTCTTATAAACCAGGCTGGCTTAAACATGTTGTGTGGTTTTATTCTTTTTCTCTGTTTTACAGAGTCAAAGGGAGGCAATGATGTTTTACCCCACAGATCCAAATGAAAAATTTGGGCTGTTTGCTCTAAGATGGGGAAAGTACAAGGCTCACTTCTACACACGAGGTAGCACCTAAAACACACAGAGGAGACTGAATATAAAGTACAATCTTAAGCTCTTTATAGACATGATCTATAAAACATTAATGGCTGCATCAGTCTTTAAATTCTATTTATTATGAAGTCAGAACTCTGCTAAATTCTCAGCAGTTTTTAATTTAAACACATAAACTACTCCCCACATGCATCTTGAATGTTCTCTGCATGCAGATTCATGGGGGCTTCATGGTATTGAATCTGCACGCATTAAACCCTCACAGTGTGAATGGAGGTAATTTATTTGTGTGTGTTTTAAATAAAACTGCTTATATCAGTGTTGTTACACGTGTCCATTTTGGCAGAATTCTGACCTCATAGTTTAATTGGTTCTTATTTAATCTCACAACTTTATTCGAAAATCATTTAAAAAGAGACAAGAAATATGTGAGCATTATTTATAATTAATGGCACATGAAGATCAAAGTAAAGAATTCAGCTAAAATGCAAATCTTTCTGTATGTTAAAGCCAATTGAGTTGTGCTGTTATACAGCTGTGGGAATACTTAGTGGTTTTTTTTTTTTTCTGCTGCTATGGTTTAGTTCAGTTAACTAAGTTTTGTCTTTCGATTTTATTTCCCAGTACAGAAACGTGCCCAGCTAATTCCAAAAAAAGAAAATAAAAAAAAATCCACTGGACTCTGTTTCCAGGTTTGTTTTTGTTTTGAAAACATGCAAATTGAAACGGACGAAGGGGTCCACCCCTTCAAAACACTTAGAAGGGTATGGGGCATTGCAGGCTAACAAAAGAAGCCAAACGACCCCCATTAATCCGTTTCAATTTGCATGTTTTCAAAACAAAAACAAAGTTTTGATGGGCTACTTTATAAAACCTCAAACTCAACGCTATTCCTGACATTTTGATTTGAAAAAACTTCCTGGATGGGAAGCAAAACGTCTTCAAACTTGGAAACAAAGTTCAGTGGATTGTTTTTTGTTTTCTTTTTTGGAATGACAATGACCTTGATGCTCAGCTAATATCCATACTGCTCTTTTCCGCACTTGAGTTCTAAGTAGCACTTGAGATTTAAGTAGCGATGCCCAAAGGTTTCCAAATCTATGCAAGGGCCCTCATCATTCAATAATAGAGCACATTTACTCTGCCAGCAAATGTTGCAAATGTATCAGGGTTAAAATTTCCATTTGCCAAATTAAAAGTCTTTTGTAGCAGGAAAAGGTAGCTACAGCGCAAAAAAAAAAAAACTTTAACAAAGCATGTGTTGTGCAATTATGGTATTTTGGATTCTCACATAAGTGTAAATCGAGCTAAACTGTGTTCAAACTGATAACTCTATGCACAGATTTGGAATAAATTCAACACAACCTCTTAAGAGGTTTTTAACAAAAGTCTTTCATCTCCAAGTCAAACATGTTTCAGTTAAAAACCCCTGATTACATTAGTTAACTAAACTACTATGTAGAAAAAGAGGAAGAAAACATGGTTGAAAACCATAATTAATAAAATTAAGCAACAATATCATAATTCAGCTTAGATTTTATGTTTGAGAAAAAAAAAAGTTTATCTTGAAAGGTTTGGATATGTTTGATCCAATTCATGCATTCCAAGAGGTAAACAAAATATTATTTGGCAGAATAATGTTTCATCAAATGAATCACTTAATCAGAAAACAATAACCTTTGGTGAATTGATTCTTAACTTGTTTGATCGAGCTAGCAGACACAAGGGACTCATCTCAAGGGACCTTTTTGTCATATCTTGGTATTAAAACGGAATGAGCATATGAGAAAACAAAAGAATGTTAAGGTTATGTTAGTGTTTAAACCTTTAGTGAAATAAAGCTTGTTATAGCTTTAAAACAACATCTCAAGCAGCATAAATAATTAGCTCACATACACAACAGTGAACACATGAAATGATCAAAAATCATCCAAACAAATTGTTAGCTTGAATCTATTATCTACATTGCCAGAACTCTATACACATAACCCCCCTGAGTACCAGTGTGCAACATCAGATGTGCACATTGATATTTATGTATGTTTATGTATGTTTCCCACTGCATGCATGCATGCATGCAGTGGGAAAATAAGTATTTGAACACCCTGCTATTTTGCAAGTTCTCCCACTTAGAAATAATGGAGGGTCTGAAATAGAACAAACATCTAAAATATCTAAAAAAATAAAACAAAAATCCAGAAATCACAATTTATGATTTTGTAACTATTTATTTGTATGATTCAGCTGCAAATAAGTGTTTGAACACCTGAGGAAATCAGCGGTAATCTCATTAGCATCTGATCACTGAATCATTGACAGAACAGGTAAGGCTCCAGTATTAACTAAGCCTGGCTGTTAGCCTCATCTGGAGCAGCTATTATGAAACTGAGTTGATCCATAATTAAGCCAGAATATACAGAAAATGAGGTTGATGCTGTTTTATCTTAGTTTGATGAAACAGGCCTCTGGTGACATTCAACATATTCTCATTATCAATTCGTATGAAATCGTACGAAAAGTTATGCACAGTATTTCGTACGTTTTTGACGTTTTTCCTCGAAAAAACATATCAGTGCGCATGCGCAGCCAGACAGACGAAAAAAGCAGATCCGCGGACGGACGTAAAACTGGGAAAAACAGTGCAATAATTACTTCTTAATGTCTCTCACTAGGTTGCTTGCTGTTTTGTATCTTAGGGTTACAGGTGCTGGTCATAAAATTAGAATATCATGAAAAAGTAGATTGATTTCAGTAATTCCATTTAAAAAGTGAAACTTGTATATTATATTCATACATTACATACAAACTCATATATTTCAGATGTTTATTTTGTTTAATTTTGATGATTACAAATGACAACAAATGAAAATCTCAAATTCATCATATCAGAAAATTAGAATATTACTGAAGACCAATAAAAACAAAGGATTTATAGAAATTTTGGCCAACTGAAAAGTATGAACATGAAAAGTATGAGCATGTACAGCACTCAGTATTTAGTTGGGCCTCCTTTGGCCTGTATTACTGCAGCAATGCGGCGTGGCATGGAGTCGATCAGTCTGTGGCACTGCTCAGGTGTTATGATAGCCCAGGTTGCTCTAATAGTGGCTTTTAGCTCTTCTGAATTGTTGGGTCTGGTGTATTGCATCTTCTTCTTCACAATACCCCATAGATTTTCTATGGGGTTAAGGTCAGGAGAGTTTGCTGGCCAATTAAGAACAGGGATACCATGGTCCTTCAACCAGGTACTGGTAGCTTTGGCACTGTGTGCAGGTGCCAAGTCCTGTTGGAAAATGAAATCTGCATCTCCAAAAAGTTGGTCAGCTGCAGGAAGCATGAAGTGCTCTAAAACTTCCTGGTATGTGGCTGCGTTGACCCTGGACCTCAGAAAACACAATGGACCAACACCAGCAGATGACATGGCACCCCAAACCATCACTGACTGTGGAAACTTTACACTGGACTTCAAGCAACGTGGATGAAGTGCCTCTCTTCTTTTCCTCCAGACTCTGGGACCTTGATTTCCAAAGGAAATGCAAAATTTACTTTCATCAGAGAACATGACTTTGGACCACTCACCAGCAGTCCAGTCCTGTTTCTCTTTAGCCCAGGCAAGACGCTTCTGACGCTGTCTGTGGTTCAAGAGTGGCTTGACACAAGGAATGCGACAGCAGAAACCCATGTCTTTCATACGTCCGTGTGTGGTGGTTCTTGAAGCACTCACTCCAGCTGCAGTCCACTCTTTGTGAATCTCCCCCACATTTTTGAATGGGTTTTGTTTCACAATCCTCTCCAGGGTGCGGTTATCTCTCTTGCTTGTACACTTTTTTCGACCACATCTTTTCCTTCCCTTCGCCTCTCTATTAATGTGCTTGGACACTGAGCTCTGTGAACAGCCAGCCTCTTTAGCGATGACCTTTTGTGTCTTGCCCTCCTTGTGCAAGGTGTCGATGGTCGTCTTTTGGACAACTGTCAAGTCAGCAGTCTTCCCCATGATTGTGTAGCCTATAGAACTAGACTGAAAGACCATTTAAAGGCTTTTGCAGGTGGTTTGAGTTAATTAGCTGATTAGAGTGTGGCACCAGGGGCCATCAATTTTGAACCTTTTCACAATATTCTAATTTTCTGATATGATGAATTTGAGATTTTCATTTGTTGTCATTTGTAATCATCAAAATTAAACAAAATAAACATCTGAAATATATGAGTTTGTATGTAATGTATGAATATAATATACAAGTTTCACTTTTTAAATGGAATTACTGAAATCAATCTACTTTTTCATGATATTCTAATTTTATGACCAGCACCTGTAGGGTCAGGGTTAGGGTTAATTGTATGTTAAATTATATGTTATTGAATGGTGCGTAAGATGCGCATGCGCAAGGATATCTTGTCTCGAGGCAAGACGTAAAAATACAACGAAAAAAACGTCCAAAACGTACGAAATTACGGTGCATACCTTTTCGTACGATTTCGTACGAACTGATAATGATAATACACTGTGAGATTTGCTAAGTTACATACAGATAAATACAAAAGACCTGGGAGACACGCATCAAGACTCAGAACAGCTTTTGCAGAAAAAGGGATCTCAGACTCAAGGGAACTGAGCAACAGATTAGATTATTTTCTGCGGAAGAAATTGCATTAATCCTTTTTTCTCACTTTTTAGTCATATTTTGTTTGTGTGCCACAAGGTTTCACTAAAATGAAAAAAAAAAAAATATATAAATCTCAATTGTAAAATGACAAAATATTTCACTATATCAGATTTATTTTTGCTATTTGTTGAGGAGAAAGTGGATAGAAAGATGCCTACAGTCAAAGTGGGGTTTATCTTAAACCTCTTGTTTCTTTTTCACCAGGTGCCACCCACAGTGCTACCACCCCTGATCCTGACTGTCCCGGGATCGCTGTCCTCAAGGCCCACGACCCACCTCTCATTTTTGACCTGGAGGCTGACCCCTCAGAGCGATACCCTCTCCCGCTGGAGGAAAGACCTGACATCCAAGCTGTGCTGGCACAGATAGAGAAAGTCAAGGCACAGTTTGAGGCTACCATGGTGTTTGGAGAAAGCCAGATATCAAAGGGTGTGAACCCGAACCTTGAGCCCTGCTGTAGTCCTGAATGTAGCCCCAAACCCAGCTGCTGCCATTGTTAATGTTTGTGAGGATAAGGTGGGGGAAATACTGCACTAAATTTATCCTTAAATCTGAAGGTACATTAATACCATCAGTGTTTTGAAATGTTGCACTTATTATCTGCTTTGGTAATGTATCTTCTTGCTACTGAAAAAGGGATATAAGAACATTTTCCTCAATGAGGATATTTCCTTTTTATTAAGAATGACCTCTTCTCGTACTGTATGTTCTCTAACTTGAGTATTTGTACAACAAAAAAAAACTTTCACTTCAATTTTCATACACAAAACAAAATGTGAAATCATTTGCAAGCTTAATAAAGACAAGAAACAAAACTTCAGACATCAAGCATATATTTTATTCATAAGACCAAACCCATGACAAGGCATAGTGATTTTTTTTTTCCATTTTATTTTGCAGTTTTTCTCAATTTTCCTTGAATTTTACAAGTCCTTGTTTTTTTTAAAGATACAAGATAGGATATGTTGGCTTTTTCACATAATGTTTTGCTCTAGTTATGGATCTTGTTGAAGTATTAAAGTCAAAAGTTTGGTTTAACTGTATTTCTCAGTGGCTATATGGGACAAGACCATCCTCAAAGGCTGTGTCTGTGAAGCTGCTTTAAAAGACAGGGTTTTTTAATTCGGCTCGAACAAGATAGAAAAACATAGTCGGAAGCAAGTAGATACATATATCGGAGATGGATTAAGCTGTTGTTGCTCTGAGGCAATGGTTGCAACTGGCTAGACGCGACATGGATGATTTTCAAGTAGCGTCTGAGTGGGTTTTACTCTATAACAGCATTAAGACGTTAACCTTTTAGCGCCATAGCTCACTAATGTGCCCTAAATTTACCGCTGAAGCCAGCAGCAAAAGTCCACCTGAGTGGGAAAAAATTAGACATTCAAATTAAACTATTGCAGATCACATAGATCTACATCTATGTGACATACAAATCGCATAGATGTCTTCTTTGTTTTACAGGGTTTTTTCATAATGATTTTTTTCAATCATTTTACATATTTATTTTTTAACATACTCAACATAAAGGACACAGCACTTAGATTTTCTATTGTATGTACATGACCTAACTGACAGATGTATATATATATGTATATATATGTAGATAAAACCCTCCCTACTGCCTCGTTAACCTTTTACCACTCAAATCCTGCAGATGGAGTGTGTTTTTGATTAAGAATGAAAGTAGCAGAGAAAGACGAGAATACCTGGCTAAGATAACAAGAGCTAGATGTTTGAAGCTGGAAGTCTGAGTTTCAAACAACAGATAACTGCAGTTTTCTTTTTAGATTAGCCTCTTTCTTCTCCTGTCTGAAAACTTATTTTCTAACACCCACAGAATGCAATATTTAAATTTATAACAAGCCAAACAGCATGTCATGAATGTTGGGGAAATGGCTTTTATTTTGTAGTTTGACCCACTATAAAAAAATCCCTTAAAATCTCTTTTAAAAGACTAAATCTCACTGTGATATCTGGACCAAGCATTAGCAGTTCACAGTGTTACTGACATGCAGCTACTGTTTGGATAAGTTTATTTTTCAGAAGTTTAAAAAAACTGAACAAAATATGGGTCATTGCATCACCTAAAGCCAAAATAAATCCATCCTAACTGTGAGAAAATGTCTTGTCAGGGGAGGGGGCTCTCTGCAGCAAAGCAGGTTTTGTGAATTTAACTTGCATGATCTAGTATCTGAGCTCAAAAGGCCACCATCAAATAAATAAGTATTTTGTTTGCTCAAAAAAAAAGCCAGTTAAATGCATTTTTAAAATATGCATTCATATGATTTAACTAATGCATTAAATCAACCAATTAATATTCAATATTCAATTAATGTTAATAATTTATTGATTAAATTATGAAATATTTCTAAATTTAAGCAATCAAATAAAAAATTACTGAAAATAATATAATAATAATATAAATTCTTTAATATTCATCTATAAATAGAATATAAAAAAATAAACAGTAGAAATATAAGCCCTTTTTGTGGCTCATCAAATAATGTGAAACATTTAAGCAATTAACTGTCAGAACCCAACTGCAGAACGATTATCTTTACTGTAGTAAAGACTTTGATAGGAAAGGTAACAAGTAGGGCTGAAACAATTAATCGGATTAATCGTGATTACTTTAAATAACCGTCAACTAATTTAGTAATCGCTTAATCATTAAATAGAGTATAGAGACTCAAAAACATGCGTTTAGCTGACAGAGCAACCCAATCAGAGCAGTAATTATATGAAAACTGTAGAAAACAATTAATAAATATTTTGCATCTTTCAATATCTGTCAATATACTCTATCCAGAACTCCTCAAATAGTAAAGTTTTAGTTTCAACTGGTTTAAATCTGTAAAAAAAATCTTCTGTAAAGGACCTTTTGCTATCCGATTATTAATCGATTAATTGAAAATAATAATGGACAGATTAATCGATAAGCAAAATAATAGTTAGTTGCAGCCCTAGTAACAAGATTATTTAAATTCATGAGATCATGTGAGCTGGGCAACAAATTTGTTTATATAAAATTTGATAAAATTATAATTACAAATCAACTGAAACATTGTAATCATCTTAGATTAATCCATTTTATTAATTCATATATAAATATTCACAAAATTATTTATTTATTCAATTGTGGTGCTTTTGGGCCTCTAGATTTGTAGTGAAAGTTTAAAAAAGTGTTCACGACTATTAGGTTGGAATTGAGGAGAAAATCAATACGTCAGATTTGCTAAAGATTGATTGATTGATTGAGTTATTGGATGTAATGTAAAGAGGGTGGCTTTGCTTTATTTGCTGTCATGATGAGTGGGGGAAAAAAATAGCGTTAAAAGTTGATTCCAAGTCAACATTTCCGAACTTATTCCCCTTTTACTTCTGGTGTCTCACCTCCTGTCAGAAGCAGTCATTTTCTTTCCACCTACATCAAAAGTCTAGAGCAAAATCAGTCCCAACAGTTTTTCCAAATCAGACTTAATGAAGCAATGTAAGTCTACTTTCTATACATGTATTTACAACACACACTTTATCTTGTACGAGACGTGTGGGGAGCTTGGTTGAATAAAAGGGCCGCTAACTTTCTCTAGTTAACTCCAACATCTTCAGTACAAAGCAAGGTAGCTGTTTAAACATCAAAAACAGATATTTACACCCCTTTTGTTTCTACACCTTTCCCTATGATACCGTTGAGCTGCTTGTCATTCACTTGGATATTTGTATTTGTTGTTGTGCAGCAACCCTACCAGCCATGCATTGAGAGGTGATTCAGCCTTAGTAGGTCAAAGATTTTCATTTCAAAACAGGATTCTTTTTTTAAATAAACAAGTGCTCAGCTTTTTAGTTTTATATCATAGAAAAAAACAGTAAAAGAAACAGGCAATAAATGCATCGAGAGAAGGGAAGTTGAGGGAAAACAGGGTTGAATAGCTTACTGTAGAAATGAGGATCCCAGTTTGAGAAGGATGCAGAAAAATATTTTACAATGATCCTGGTGGGAAGGAAAGAAAAGTAAAGAAAGACTGACAGTGTCCTCTGGTGGAAAACAACCAATGTACACAGGCTGTAGAGGAAAAGAGTCATCGATGAACTCCTCCTACTCCAGGTAGATGTCTTCAGTGGGGCAGGCATACTCCAGGTGTTCTTGGTAGTACTCTTGAAAGGCCCGACTGCAGAGAAAACAAATAAATAAATACAAAACAGACATAGGAACTAATACATGCTATACTTTGTTTTATCTTCTTGATGCTTCCAAATTAATATCCAGGTAATAAAATAAAATAATGAATACAAACCCTCCCAAGTTTTAGATTTTGTGATTGTAAACATAAAAAGCAGAAGGAGAAGTCAGCAGATATATCGAAGTAAGAATGGCTCTAAATATCCCCGCAGACAGTGATATATGTCTGCACCTTATGGAGCCTAGGCGCGAGTTCAACTGAATAAACAAACTACTCGCCTTCATCCACCTACGACACAGCCAATCAGCTTTGAACCACGCCTCCACGAAAGCCAATCAGCATCTAAAGTTCATCTTTAAAAGGCCTTCGATCCACAACTTGTCTGCTCCTGTGCGCAGGCGGTGGATAGCGGATCCACGAAGTGTGACTTCATTCAGATGACCGTTTCAACCCACCTCCAGCCCCTCCTCCACCATCACAGCTAAAACTAGATCAGAGTGTCATTACTCCTGGACTCTTACTGCTTTCCACATCTCATTTCAACCGGTCCGGCAGAAGACCGCCACGCTGAGCCTGGTTCTGCCAGAGGTTTCTTCCCAATGGGGAGTTTTTCCTCTCCACTGTCGCTTCATGCTTGCTCATCATGGACAGGTTCTCTCAATCTGTGATACCCAACTGGACTTCCATCTTCCAGGTCCCTGAGTGAAGCTCTAGTATCAGCTCATGCAATCCACTGGATCTCCACATAAAGCTCAGCATACCGTCTCGCTAACCAGCTTTCTACAGACTGACCAACTTCATCTATCTTCACTCCACCACCAGTTTCAGGGAAAACTTCTTTACTCCCGTTCATGCATATCAATCAAAATTCAGCGTGATGTTCCCTGCCGAGGTCTGAGGGCCAAAGAGCAAGTAATTGTATCAATAAATATCATTCAAAAGCTACAATGGATAAGGAAAATGTGACAAATCCTGTTAGCATTTAACTTGTCACCTCCTGCAAACCTCAAATTAGGGTGGGGAGAAAAGGGACCTCTTCTCTATTTTGATCTTTAATAACAGCTTTGAGATCATTTTGCAGTGACAGAATACTCTGACTGAGTGTTTGCTTTTCAGAATGAGAGAAAACAAAATCCCTTATTACATCTAGGACATTTTATTTTTGTTGATATCCTGAATGCTTATTTCAATGTCTGATGCAAAACATGACAGCATTTGTTTAAATGAATTTAGTTTGGTTGTATTTGTTTGCTGGAAGAATATTAGCACCTGGAGGAGTCAAATAAATCGAAGAGAAAAAAACAATAGAACAGCTTTTTGTTATGAAATCTAAACAAGTGCAGTAACAGCCTAGTAATGAATGAAATAACTATAAAAAAGACACATTTTGGGTTAAACAGTTATTTCAGTAAATATATGCCGCATCTGTACTCATTTAAGTTTTTCACATCAAGTTTCAACCAAACGCTGTCGTGTATTTTATTTACTTCCTAATTGCTTAGTATTTAGCTTTCTTCTATGGGCCCTGAAATCCGACCCACATCACTATCACCCAGTGCTGTTACCTCACGGTTTCACTGTGGTGATTATGTGTTAAGGTCAATGTGCAGGGTTTTTTCCCGAACAATGCA